GAGAATTTTATTTGAAAGGATTTCAAGGAGATTATAGATTTATCAGAGCAGATAAATTTAACAATTACGGAAAACGTATTTGTAAAATTTGCAAGAATTTAACTTATTGTATAAATATATATATTATTAGTAGAAGAAATTTTGGAAGACATCCTCTTTGCAATACTTGTATAGTTTATTTTGAATAAATTTAATAAAATATATGTTCTATAACATAAATATTAAATTTAAATTTAACAGTTTCAGTTAATATTAATATATTAACTATTTCTACAATTTCAATATTCAAATTATAGATTAAAGACGAATTATTAAGAGTATGATTTTTAAATTTAGAATCTATATATTTTATCAATTTTTTAAGATCAAATTCATGATCTATAATACGTTCTTTGAATCGAGTAGATTTCTCAAATCTGTTATAGAATTTTATAATCTCAGAATAGTCTAGTATCTTAATATCTTTATTGTTATCAAATTTCTGATACTGTGTAAATTTTATGTTTGGCATTTTTCTTTTACGTATCAGATATTTTTATCAATCTTTTATAGCTTTTGAAATTGTGGCTTAGCTCTGAATGATTATAAAAAGACCTAATTTTCACCTTTATCGCTGTTTAGTTTTTAAAAAAACCAAACAGAAATTATATTCATCAAAATCTATATTCATTAAGGTAAGAGGAGGATCCTAACTCATATATATGTCTGGGTTTTCTAATTCCACTTATTATACTAATTTGTATTTTTACAAATCTGGCTACCTCATCGTACAGGCTGTATCTGGCTGGTATTCATAATTGTGATTCATTTACTTGAATTATTTATGTTATAAATCCAGAATGCCAAAATCACCTTTATCAAAATATTTTGTTGTTCTAATTGGTCATACACCAGGAATATATTATTCCTGGAAAGAATATAAAGAACAAGTGAACAACATTTCAAATTCTAGTTATAAAAAATTTTTACATTAGAAGATGCGTATAAATGTTTTGAAAATCATCAGAATAAGGTTAAAGAAAAAGAAGATTTAATTAATTCTCTTGATAAGATTGTTATATATACTGATGGAAGTTGCATCAATAATGTAGAGGTATTTATGCTGGAATTGGAATTTATTATAAAGATGGATCAAAAGAAATTACTAAACCATTACCTGGAAATATACGAACTAATAATAGAGCAGAATTATTTGCAATAATTAGATCAATTAAAACTTGTGAAAATCAAGAAAAAATCTTAGAAATAAGAACTGATAGTAGATATGTTGTTAACGTATGTGAATCATAGATTTTGAAATGGAAAATAAATAATTGGAAAACTGTAAGGGGTGAAGATGTAAAAAATAGAAATTTATTTGAAAAGTTTGATAAATTAGTAAATAATAGAAAAGGAAAAATTATTTTTATATATGTTAAAGCTCATGTTGAAATAACTGAAAATAAGATTGCAGATAAGTTAGCGAGACGTGAAGCAACTATTGATATGTGGAATCAAAAAAAATTATCACCATATAACAGTTATATGAAAAATACATTTCCTAAATATAAAAAAGAAAATCCTAGTTTAGATCATAAGATAGCTTTTAAAAATATTGCAGCAATGTAGAAAAATTCTCCTGAAAATCCTAAAAATATTTAATTATTTTATTATTCTATTAAATAAATTTATTTTTATTATTATTTTATTCAATAAATATTTATTTCACGTGCAGCTAGGAAGCCTACGTGTATATTTTTAAAACCTTTGAATCACAAGCCTGTGCGATAGGAACGTACAGAAGTTGTAGCAAAAAAAGCTCACTGCAAGTGAAGTCATTTGTTTAGTTTTAAAAAAACAAAAAAATTTTATTTTTGTTATGAATATCTAAGTAATTTTATTTTATTTTTTTTTAATTCAGCAGTCATGCTGTGACTTTATTTAGATTTGTTTTTCATTAAAAAAAACTACATTATCAAGTTTTATACTATCTAATGCCTAATTTTTTAAGCC